CAGTAATTTTTTAAGAGCTGAAGATAAAATTTGAAGTTAAATATTCACCTGAATAAAAAATAAGGGAAATTAAATATTTCACATAACTAATCACTTTTTAAAAATGAACATCTTATGAAGGGGACAGTATCAATAATGTGTTTGGTGAGACCCACCCCTGCGTTCCGGACCTCACTATTTTAACTCTGGCTACAGCACATGAGGTGTGCATCTGACTTCCTGGTAAACGCTGGAATAATCTCTCCCCTCGTCATCTCCCTTTGGGATTCCCTGCTCTCTGGCAAGTGTCCAAGTCCCTTATTCATGGATGCCTGGAGCCTAAGAGGTCCTAGGGGCTCAAGACAAGGTGTGAGCAGAGGGCCACTGAGAAGCAGTGGTGATAGTGATGTCAGAAAGCTCTCTATGGCGATAGTGATGTCAGAAAGCTCTCTATGGCGATAGTAATGTCAGAAAGCTCTCTATGGCGATAGTGATGTTAGAAAGCTCTCTATGGTGATGGTGATGTCAGAAAGCTCTCTATGATGATGGTGATGTCAGAAAGCTCTCTATGGTGATGGTGATGTCAGAAAGCTCTCTATGGTGATGGTGATGTCAGAAAGCTTTCTATGGCGATGGTGATGTCAGAAAGCTCTCTATGGCAATGATGATGTCAGAAAAAAGGTTTGGGCTAACCTGGGTGCACAGTGTAGCGCCTCCTTTAATATTTGGACGTCTGTATGTAGGTTACTGTATTATAAGGTATTCTAAGAAGAAATACTGAAGCAACTAATACACAAAAGATGTGACTGAGGGTGGTGCACTGTTGATCAGGGTTCAATCCCTTCCTCTGGGTTCTCTGCCCAACAGTCCAAAAATATGCTCAGCTAAACTGGAGTTGCCAAATGTCCCATAGGTGTGAACGGTGTATGATGCCTGCAGTGGGCTGACACCCCATCCTGGGCTTTTCCCGGGCTCACACCCACAGCTCTGAAGCCCTAGGACCCTGCGTAGGACAAAGCGGGGATGGGTGGATGGATGGATGGATGGTATTTAGCATAAGATACTAATGTGTTTAGTGTTAAAGCACAGCCAAAAAAGCCATGTGATTTGTTGATTAGATAATTGCATTAATGAGAAATTGAACAGGTGTTCCTAATAATCCTTTAGGTGAGTGTGTATATATATATATATATATGAAGTTATGAAGCATTATGAATTTATGAAGCATATAGCATTATGGCCTAAGACCTCCAGAGCTGTGTGATTGACTCCTAACCATACGGTTTTAGAATATGCAAACTCCACATACATAAAACTGCTTGCAGGATTCAAATGTTCAAAGCGGGGGGAGGGGGGGGCTTGTACAGGGCCACCATATTATCATTTCACTGCATTTAGATGCACTTCACCCTCCTCACAGATGGACACCAATCCAGTCAAAATTATTATAAACTATTATTAAAAGAATGATGTGGTACTGCACAACTATCAGCATAAATCTCATTACAGGGTTGCAGATGTAATACCGCACAAACTGGTCTTCAGCGTAATCTGAATTCACAGAATTCCAGTTCTATTTTTACTTAGGATTAGTAAACTCAGAATAAGTTTGAGAGACAAAATCATGAAACTGCTTAATCGCAGTACAGTTCTGTCTTAAAAATGCAGTAATTCTGAGTTAAAAGATTACTCCTTTGCATATGGCAGCTGCCCTTGCAAAGTGTAAGTCCTGGAAACCTTTAACCTAAACTGTAGCGGTCAGCAAAAGCCTATGCTATCTATAATGCTGAAGGGCCTTTCTGTGAAGAGAGCGCGTATCTCACAGCTCATGAAGTGCTCTTCTGTTCTGTTAAATGTCCAAAACCTTACTAGAACAAATTGTAACACATATGACTATTTTCACTGGTTGGTGTGATAGTGACCCAGAAGTATCACTTATTATATATCACCATATTTGAAACATTCCTTTTGCAAATTCATACCTTTGTGCCATGTCGAAGCAAAGAATTTTAAAGTGAAAACTTCATTGTAATAACTGTACGGTCATTTAAAAGTGACAGGACCTGTGTGAGCAATTGGGTCTGAACAGCTTTGAAAGCTTGACACAGGTAATATGACCTGTGACACTTCTTGCTAGTCTCAAAGATGCCGTTGTCTGCTGCAGGTACTATGGGGAACCTTATCTGCCTATTCTGGTCAAAGACAGGGACGTCTGTTTGGACAAAAACAGTTTTCACAGTGATCAATAGTGCACCAGAGGCTGAATTAATGTGGAGGTTAGCCATTATTTTACTGATATATTAAAAACAGATTCCAACAGACAACCTACTGTTTTCCTCAGTATTACAGATATCTGTGAAAACAGGAATGCCAAAGTTTGCAGAATTTTAGCTGTGGTGATTTTTAGTATTGATCATCAACAACAGAAGCATGGAACTTCATCAGCAATTTAATACAAATGATTCACACAGGAAATCTTGCTCATTAAATTGTATAGATTTCTTCTCCTTTCAAGTGTGCAGTGCCAGGTATTAACAGTATATACTATTGTTTTTTTTCTCAGTTGATGGATTCTGCCTCATACCCTGTGTAGCCTTTGTGTCCTGTGCTGCCTCATACCCTGTGCTGCCTTAATGTCCTGTGCTGCCTCATGCCCTGTGCTGCCTTTGCGTCCTGTGCTGCCACATACCCTGCCCTGTGCCATGGAAAAATAAATGTAAAACAAAAGTAAAGTTTAAACATCTGAAAGAAAAACAACAGCAGAAATAGTATTCCTGAGACCCGAGGAAAAAGTGTCCTTCAATTTTAGGTTATTTGTCTTTCGAGGAAATAAGACATCTTACAATTTGAATTTACAATTTTTAAAATTTATTTTTATTTTCTATTTCACAGCATGTCCTCTTTAGTGTACTCAGGAATAAATACGTTTCTGGTCTCAGGAGGATATGTATTGAGGCTAGAACAATGAAATCCTTGTTAAATTAAAACTAACTGCCAGAACAGGTCTATTTATATCCAGTCGTATCTTGAAAACGAACCACAACAAGAACAAATACAACAAATACAAGAACAAGAACAGTAATAATAATAATAATAATAATATAATAATAATAATAAATAATAATAATATCGCAGGCGCCTGGGCCGGATGTTTTCGTCATCGCCTCGTACTTTTTTTCACAAACCATAACGCCTCGTGTCACAGGGTTTTTCATTCATCGTGAGAGTGGTGTGCAGCGCAAGGCGTAAGGTAAAGTGCCTAATGATATACGTGTCTATGTTTATAAACTATCTAGTCCATATTTATGTACTTGTTCCCATTCCGTAAAATATAGTTATATAGTTGTAGATCGGAGCTCACTGGTAATGTTTAAGTAATTCTGTGTTGAATATAATGTTGTATATGATTTATATATTTTGAACTTATATTCAGTATAGTACTGTTTACAGATGGACACACATAAAAATATGTACATGTAATATGTAATTCAAATACTCATCTCTGTGTTCACACGTATGTATTGTGTGTGTATATGTAATATATAAAACACGTATTCATGTACTGCCGTCGTCATTTAATGGTACCTGACAGCAATCCGCGACCGCCACGCATTTTCCATAAGATGGAAAGGTGTACGTAGACTGGAAAAGGTGTCTGGGTATGGGCGTAGGAGGGAGTATGACACAGGGGAACAGCCTAATAATTTAAAGGTAAAAATCTTTATTTATTTATTTTGTATTGGAGGAATACAGCCAAGTTCAATATTGGGGGGTACACGTCCCGCCTGGATCCCACGCCCTTGTGTGATGGTCATTTTGTATTGGTAGTATTTCACTTTGAGAGTATTTTTTTCTGTTGCACAACACATCCTTGAATCATGTGCGTGCTTTTGTTGGTGTCAGTTTCCAATTAGAGCAAATTAAACGTTACGGAAGAAGCACGCAGCTCAGTGTTAAGAAATACAAAGTTCAACTGTAGGAAAGATACCAGAGTGTAAATAAAATAATAAAAATGCACGTGTTCATTGCATTCACTATTAATATTGTTTTGTTGCCGTTATCAATAATAATAATAATAATAATAATAATGTCAGTGACGGACTGGCTTTCTGGACGGGGTCTGCTTCCAGATACAGTAGCATCTCATGATCCTTTTCCTTGTATTTCGTGCTATACCTTAATTAGAAGTTAATTGGAAGATTTTGAATGGCCGGAGAACTCCAGTAGCACCAACTGTTGGATCAGTCTAGCTCAGGTATTTCACATAAATGCTTTTCATGTCTCTTCGGACATTCACTGACCTTTTCTCTTTCTCTCTCACACGCGTAACAGCACGATTCCGCGACTTAATACATGAATAGCAATAACTTTCAGTGCTGTCATTTTCGGATCATGGTCCGTGGTCCGTGGATTAAAAAAATCATGGCGTGGTGTAAAAAAGAGAGAGATTAGAAAGTGAGATAAATGGCAGAAGGTGCACGTTTCAGCACTGTACTTGGACAGCTCCCCCGGCCATCACCATGGCGATATGTCGACAGTGGCAGCGCATACAATCATTTCTGGAGTGATAATCAGTGTAACATCAACCCCTTTCCAAAGATCTGCATACCAGCCCATACTGATTTATAAGGAAAATGTGGGAAAAAATACAGAGGGTTCCATTTACTCCATGAACAAATTAGGAACAGTTCAATAATAGCTGTGATTCATTTTGGACTGGACCACATCCTTGAAAACAGAGATTATTGGATTTCCTGCGCAGTGACCACAGCTTTCAGTGCGTGTGTGTGTGTGTGTGTGTGCGTGTGTGTGCGTGGTGTCGTTAGGTATAATTTTCATTGTGGGGACCAAATTTCCCCACAGAGATATAATGACAAACGTGTGTGTGTGTGTGTGTGTGTGGATTCTGACATGCAAGGCCTTGAGGCCTGCGTTTCCATGGCAACGCTAGCTTTGTTTTTTAAGAAGAAGCCAGCCCGGGCTTCCAGTGATTTGCTGATCCACTTTCCTTCCCCGCAAAGGGCTCCAGTGCCATGAGACTTGCAGTGATCTTGTTCTGGACTCTTGCTGACATCATGCTCCTAGCTGGGGCTGACTATCCGGATGAAGAGTGCCACTTTGAAAATGGTGGGTAACTTCATTTTTTTCTATTAGGGTGTCTTAAAATAAGAATCAAATATACGTGCAATCAATTGTATAATTTATACCATCTAAAATGTATTTTAAATATGGTTGTACTTATCCAATAAGTACCTGCATTAATATGTGAATTGAGTTTGAGGAAATCATGCAGGTTCTGTGCCCAACTGCAGCCAAAAGCTTTGGAAACACCTGTTTGAATGACTACAGTCAGACGATAAGCTGTGTGCTGGAGGGGATCGAATCCTGTGCCGCAGAAAACACATTCTGCTGGTTGGAGTTTAACTCAGAATACACACAGTGAGTCCTGCCTTTAGCTGCCAGGTTGTACTCTGAAGCCTGAAAGAAAGGCTGTCCTACACGCGTGAAAAATGCATTCAGTTTGCATGATACTTAACACTCAATGAGTGACCTTTTCTCCCTATGTACAGGCTGAATTGCTCAATACAGAATACTGGAAACTGCACTGCTTTTGGAGATGATTCATCATTTGAAGATTATTCTATATTTAATATTTTTCTCTGCATCACACGGAATGGACAGACAAATAAAACGTTAATCATTCCGAACTACAAGTCTATGTGTAACAGTAAGTTTATTTTCTATATGATATGTGAGGATGCAATTTCATTTTTAAATGTCAGAAGGCAAACATCATCATATTGGTAATGCCAAAGTATACAGCACATATCTACTGTACTGTTATATGGAATAGTACTTAGTACATCTTATTTATTCATTTGTTTGTTTATTATGATATTTTTTTTCACAGTTAAACCAGTAACTCCGCCTAACCTAACTGTACACCAGCGTCTGGATGGTTACTTTTTCACTTGGGACCATGGATATCATGAATATCTAGTTGACAACCTAAAATATGAATTCTTAGTCTACAGAAATGGACATCCTAACGTAAGGAGAACAATGATTTAAAAGATAAAAAATTTAAATCCTGTAGCCAGAAACACGTTCAGCATTCATTTAAGAGTGCTTGTTCCTTCTTATTGCTTTGCAGTCAAAGAGTTTTAACCCGAGCAACAACAGCTACTACATCAGAGTTGAAAACCTTGAGCCTGACACGATGTATGTTGCCAAAGTGAGGTCCAAAATGAGGGGTGCGTATGGTGGCCCATGGAGTGAGGACAGCAAAGCAGTAACATGGAATACTACGAGGAAACATGGTAAGACACATGTGCACTAACATCAAATGCGAGCACAGAATCTTACCACACATCTACTGTAATCTGTATCATGCTTTTCATTCTTGGCCTTTACACCACCAAGATAAATCTGTGATATAAACCTATAAGTCAGAAATGCAGATAGTTTTGGTGCATAGTCAAATTCCCCGTAGATATGATTAATAACAACAGATTTAATTTATACAGCTCTTTTAAAAAACCCAAAGATGCTTACAACAGATGAGGGAATGAGCACAGCTAGACACTACAAAACAAGGGAATGCAACCTGATAACTGCAATCAATACAGTAACAACCAAGGGAATTCAGTGTGGCATGCATATGTATGATTAATTAGTAGCAATATAGTAATTGTAGAGAAGATGTAGCTTTACAATTAAGTTGTACAGATATAATACAGAATGTGTCTCTCTCAAACATTAGGTTGCATTGTCTTTGGAATGTTAAAGTATATTGTTGCCTTAGCTTGTCATTTACCCTTGAATTTTTTTTCTCCCTTCTAGAAGATTCCGCCACATTGCTGCCTTTCGGAAAGCTTGATATCCTGCTCTACTTGGTAGCCGCTCTCTTCTTCTTTGCCCTCTTCAGTTTTACTGCAAGGTAACTCGGTTATGCAGAATATTTGTGTGTGCGCATGTGCGTGTGCGTGTGTGCGTGTGTGTGTGCCTATGTGTGTCTATGTGTGTCTATGTGTGTCTATGTGTGTCTGTGTGTGTCTGTGTACACTGCTGCAGTTCTGTAACCTAGACTGTGTCACAGGCAGAAGCTTAAAGCGTTCTCCAAGATACCAACACCTGCGCCGTACTTTCAGCCTCTCTACAAGATTTATAAAGGGAATTTCCAGGTAGAGTATCAATTAACTACCATTTAGTTCTCAATAAACAAATAAATAAACAAGTAACATTTCATTTACAAAATAACCTTCACATTCCCATAGAACTGGCTTGTGCATCCAAGCTACATGGGAGACTGCAAAATGGATGAGCTGTTGAAAATAGACACTTTAATCGAAGCCAAACCAATCAGCAATGAGGAGAGCTTTCAGCCCCCCCCTCTGCACTCTCCTCGATTCCAAGCTCCTTACGTCTGCTATGATGAAAAAGACTGGACTGTACGTGACCAGAATGACTGTTCCTGCAGCCCAGAGCCACTCTCAGTCCAGAAAATCAACATGAATGACATGCAAAATATTCAGTCTCAGGACCTGAGTGACACAGACTTCAAAGATCTGACATTCAGCTTAGACAGCAATGAGTCACAGGGGGTTCCACCCAAGGAACTAGAGAGTCCAGGTTACCATGATGACTACTGCACGCTTGCTGACACGCCCAACGGCCTCGTTCCCACTGTTATGGTCACAAAGATCTCTGGGAAGTCACTGGAGGCAGAATGCTCACCGAACTCAGAAATGGACCTCAATGCTACAGGCTGACACGTGAAACATGCCTGCAACATACGAGGGTTGGACAATGAAACCGAAACGCCTGGTCAATAGTGTTTGAGGTTTCACGCCTATACTGTATATGCGCAGCCTGGAGGCCTGTCTTCACTGACTGCACATTCCATCAGTATGTGCAGAATGTAAAGGTTGAATAAGCAGAGAAATAGCAGAGATGTACATAAATTTTTGCAATCCACACAACATAATATGAGACATATCAGAGTTCAAAAGAGGACAAATCATTGGTGTGCATCTCACTGGCGCATCTGTGATCAGGATAGTAAGTCTTTGTGGTGAATCGAGAGTCACGGTACCCTGGGTAATGTCGACATACCACCACTTAGGATGGACCACATCCAACAGGAGTAACTGTGGAAGCAAGAGGAATCTGTCTGAAAGGGATGTCTGGGCACTAACCTGGATTGTATCCAAAACACATAAAACTACAGCTGCCCAACTCACTGCAGAATTAAATCCACTCCTTGACTCTCCTGTTTCCACCAAAACTGTTTGTCAGGAGCTCCACAGGGTCAGTATTCATAGTTGGGCTGCTATAGCCAAACTTTTGGTCACTCGTGCCAGTGCCAAACGTCAGTTCTATGGTGCCAGCAGAGCAATGTTTGACTGTGGACAATGTGAAACATATTGTTCTCTGATGAGTCCAGCTTCACTGCCTTTCCCACATCTGGGAGAGTCATGGTGTGGAGACGTCCGTCCCAAAAGAGGCTTAGCACCCGGACTGCTGTGTACTCAGAGTGCAGCACAGGGGTGGATCGGTGATGCTTTGGACGGCAATATCATGGCATTCCATAGGCCCACTACCCGTTCTAGATGGCCATGTCACTGCTATGGACAACCAAACCATTCTGGAGGACCATGTTCACCCAGTGGTTCCAACATTGCACCCTGAAGGTGGTGCCGTGTATCAGGATGATAATGCACCAATACACATAGCAAGACTGGTGACAGAGTGGTTTGATGAACTTGAATGTGAAGGTGAACATCTCCCATGGCCTGCAAAATATTATTGAGCCAATTTAGGGTGTTTTTGGAGGAGCGAATCAGGAATTGTTTTCCTCCACCAGCATCATGAAGTGACCTGGCCACTGTTCTGCAAGAGGAATGGCTCAAAATCCCTCTGACCACTGTGTGGGACTTGTGTTTGTCTTTCCCAAGATGCATTAATGCTGTATTGGCTGCAAACGTATGGCTACACCATACTAATAAATTACTGAGGTCTAAAACCAGGTGTTTCAGCTTCATTTTCCCAGACTTGTATGTCATAGCAGTACTTTTAACTGTAATGTGATGCTGAGCAGAACCGTGAGAATCTGGGATCTAAAATAACTGTCCAGATGGAACAAACCAACAAAACAAACAGACAAAGGTGAAAAACCCAGCCTGCAATAATACCACTATATGACAAGCACACTTGGTACAGTATGAGTGAGTCAGTTTCATTATGTTAATTTCTGGAAAGGAAAAAAAACAGGTTACAGTGTTACTGTGAAAAGTGACACGGTATTGCTTTAGAAAGAATACAACTGATGATCTTTCATTATTGAATTTGTCACACGAATTATTGGTGATTTCGTTGTTTGGTTTATACTGGTTGATATCATCTTGCTGTTTATTAAACATTATATGTTAAATAGATTTCTCTAAAATGTGTATTTAATATTCTGTATAACACACTGTTAAATGGTTTTATAATACATAACTGGAATACAGCTGATACAGTATGTTTCTTTAGTCAAAATGAAGAGAGATGCTGGTGTTTTCTGTGATGCATTTAGCTGCTTGATAAGTAAAACTTCTTTATATATAGTATAATGTTACATTTACGTATTTTCTCACTGTACTATCAGTCATGGCTCTTTCATTCTACTGTAATGACAATTTTCTTAAACTGGGGATATGTTAATTACAGTTCCCTCCACCATTATTGTAAAGATTTGTTAAAAGGGATAGAAAAAATGCCGGGAAACTAAAACTGGGCCGTTATTTGGATCTTCCAGCAGGACAGTGATCCTAAGCACATGTCCAAATCAACAGAAAAATGGTTAGCAGACGAATCAAGCTTCTGCCATGGCCATCTCAGTCCCCTGACTGGAACCCCATTGGAAACCTGTGGGCTGAGCTGAAGAGGAGCGTGTATAAGAGAGGACATAGGAATCATCTCAGATTCCCTGCTGTATTCTCCAATCCTATAAAATGTTATAGGAGACGACTCAGTGCCGTTATACTGCCAAAGGGAGGTTGTACAAAGAATTAATTGCTGGGGTGCCAATAATCATGGCACATGTTTTTGTTGAAAATAATTATTTCTTGAATGATTTGTTTTTGTTTGAATAAATATATTTTAATGAAAGGTTGGATTTTTCTCATTTGTTTTAGTGTGAGATGAAAGTACTTCACTGAAAGGTTTTTTTTCTAAACCTTTTAACAAACCTTTTGCAAGGGGTGCCAATAATTGTGGAGGGCACTGTAACTGGGCAAAGGTGCCTCACTGGGAAGCACTGTTGCCTCACGCCGTAGCGATTGGGGCTCTATATCCTGCATCTGCCCTGTGTGCATAGAGCTTATCTTTCCTGCTCCCTCCCTCAGGTACTCCAGTTTCCTCCTGAAGTCCTAAGACATGCGGTCAGGTTAACAGGTGCCTCTGATTTGCTTGTAGTCTGGGAGATTGTGTCTATCTAGTGCCTGGTGCCAATGGCACAGGAGAGAGCTTGATATGCAATTTTGAGACAGATCACATAAAAACTGAAGCAGTGCTGCATAGTGATAGCAAAGTCATGGTTCACGTAATAGGAGGGGGGCCATATTGTGAGACCCTAAGAAATGGTCCTTAACCTGAATTCATCTCCCAATGACTTATCAAGTACATAGCCTAGACCCTGGGACCAGGAAGAGCAAGGCGGGTAACGCCCTGAATGGGATACCAGGGCAAACGCTGCAGGCAGAGACACCACTGGTGACTGTGGGAGGAAATGGAGTTCCAAATTAAAGACGCCGCAGGGATAACATACACATTTCGCACAAAGTCACTTTAGACAAGTCCATTAATAGTTAACTAAATATCCAATGGCTCAAAAAGAGGTTGATAGTTGATTATTAGTAAAACAACGATCGTACTAAATTTGAAGGAAAACTTTCCAAGTAAAACGGTTTTTTAACAATTAAAAGGGAAAAGTGCCAGATAACGAATACATCAGAGAAAACGCTATTGAAGAGCGTCCTGGCAACGCTTTTCCAAGAAAATCACTCTATAGCTCAAACGGATGGAAAGGACTCCTGGGCCTTAGTGGCTGATCTGTCAGACTGTATTTATGACTATTGGATTATTAATCATCCGACAGGAGTTGTTGGAATTACCAGTGTTTTATACACAGAGTGGGGTGGAGTGGTGGCTCTGAGGCTGGGGATCTGTGCTAGCAATTGGGCCCTTGAGCAAGGCCCTTAACCTGCAATTGCTTTGTTCTGGGTATGATGTTAATCTACATCTAGCCCTATAAGGAGGTCCTCCTTCCTTACAGGGAAAAACTTGGGGCTTGGTGGCAGGATTGGCACTCCAGTCACCAGAAAAAAAAACTGAGACTGGGCCATTTAGACTCATGTGGTGCTGAGGTATCAACCGCTGCATGGCTGCACTCAGGTTCTCATCCCTGCGGTGCTTTGTTGTGTGGTGGGTGCGGGAGCACACTGTAATCAGTGCATGCTCCTTACCTCTCTATATAGTTGTTTGTGTCAGGGTGGGCAACCATGTAGGGTATGTTGTTCAGATGAATGAAGCAGCTTACTGTTTTCATAGTTTCAGTTCGGTCATGTGTGCGGCGCTTTTTAAAATCAAGAAATGCAAAAGTCATTGATATTGCAGCGGTTATTCTGAATTACCCAGTCAGTTGATAAAATTCCCCTGAATAAAAAGCTACGGTGACTTCCAACTTATCAGTCTAGTCTTTGTTCGTGGCTGCAATATGATTCTCACGCAAATCTAATGAACCTATGGGTACAAAACTGTGGGAGCCATATTGAGAAATCGTGTATTATTCTAATCTCAAATCCCACGAAAGACGTTATTTTTTATTTTGAAAAATCTATGAAAAATTCTGAAAGCGGCTGTATGGTTGGAAAATTGTTTACAGGTATCACGTAATTATTTATTAAGCCTATATATACTTTTGGTTTTATGATAACTTAAATACTCAAAAATGCTAAAACCTGCTGTACTCATTTGTGCTTTCTGCTTTATTATGAAACTTACATATAAAGTTTAAACCCTTATTCACTCATTACCACATACTTTGTACGCAAATAACCTGCCTCGATATTCACTTCTATGCTCCATTGCCTTCTAGCGGATGAACGAGAAATTGATTTCAGCCGAAGTTACCAGCAAAATACTAGCCATGTGGCTGGTAGCAGTTGACAACATTTTCAGGTAACGTTTAAGCTCAGTCACTAGGGGGATACTTTAATAGCGGTGGTGATTATAACATCTCACAATTCATTTTCATACAAGCGGAAAACAAAAACGTCTTGGGCTCATCCGGTGCTCCCAAACTCTCGCTATAACATGGGAATACAGACAAACCATACTACTGATAAGTCTGACCTGTTCCACTCCGACTAGAAGGATACATACAGTATTACTGTCAAGTCTTGCCTCTATTTCCCACAATTACACCTTAACGCTAGTCACATGTCACAAAGAATGGTCCGTCACGTGAAATTCTACCCTTTTTCGATTCAGACAAGTGTGTGTATGTGACTTGTTTGCTGCTTTATAGATTATAATGTATATAGTGTTTATCGGTCTCTTGTCAGATGAATGTAATTTGATCTGTCGACTGAAGAAAATGTAATCAAACTATAACGTTGGCGACTCGTGTATGCTATACTGTACGTGTATAATAAATTTTATATTTACACACGTGATGAGCTTTACTGGCTCGAGCCTAGCGGGCTGCAGCTTTCGCGTGTCATGGGGGGACGCGGCGCTCCTCTCGCGACCGCCTCGCTCGCGCTCTCGAGGAGTGACGTTAGCGCCAGAAGATGAAGGCGCGGGGGCGGCCATTAGCGGAGGCTCCGTGACCGTCAAAGGCCGAGTAAATACAGTTAGCGGACAGCCGCCCGCCCCCCGCCTATGGCGAGAACCAGCGGTCAGATTGTGAGTATCGCTGTTATGGCACCAGTTTACAGCGGGAGCCGGACATAGAGCGGGTGACTTATGCGGTACGGCGGAGCCGTCCGGGTCAGGCCCGTCTCTTTCCGGGACCGGCAAAGCAGCAAATAACGCTTATGTTAGCCTGTACCCTGCATGTAGACGTTAACACACACACGCACACGCGAGGTGTGTGTGTACTGTGTATATTTATATATATATGTAGAGTGTCTGTACTGTACTGGTTGTTTTTTGTCGGCTACTCTGTTAACTTCCGTATTGAAGTCTTAAGTCGTCAGCATTTGCTGTGCTGAAGTTTAAGGTGGCAGTTAAACCAGTAAACGTGCGTATAAACCCTGCTTTCAAAGTATTCCGATTTGCTTATTTATGTTTATCAGACCAGCCTGACGCCGGAGGTACTGTAGCTCGCCATTTGACCTGATGAGCGGTATCGATACCTTGTTAGAGGCTTTGGGTTTACCTGCTACCGCCTTACAGACTGAATCATATCATGTTTGTATGTTTACCAAAAATAATAAATTGCATATTGCTTATTTGATATATATCATGTTATCGCATTGACACTGTCAGAGTTCGTCATTCAAAATGAAAGCAAGTTCACGCGATGTATGTGTGTTGTCAAAATTGTGCATGATTCATTCTGTAACAAGTTTACATAAATATAGTTTTACATTATTTATGTGTTTCATATAGTGTTAACTATTTCAGCTTTCAGTTCCTTGTTTTACTTGTATGTTAAAAAACTGCAGTGATTAGACGTTTCTTTAAGTTGTAGTTCATAAGACTACAAGTAAAATAGGCTATTCGTTATTAGTGTCAAAACTTAATTTTAATTTATCAACTTTGTTAGGTTAGTAATAGCGATGAAAGAAATTTCGAATGATCTTAGGGAAAGTGTGTGTCATTTTTATGGAATCTTACTTTTTGTGGGGCACCACGTTTAGGATAATATTATGACTCATTGCCACATGGTGGAAAACAGCCCTGAACTAACTTTGTAAATATTTTTTTCCCCTCTAAACAAATACCTTCAGTGTACTGGTCAGTGAATTAATTTTTTTTTTTGGGGGGGGGAATCCAAAGTTGACTGAGAGCTGTTCACCAGAGTGAATGAAGTGTTTCGATCAGATCTATAAAATGTTTTGTGTGGCATTAATGTATTTGTTTTGATGGTTTTCTTCATTTATGCAGCTAATGAATGTGCTGTATGAATGTGTTGTCTCATCTTTTGTAGGAAAGCACAAGTCATCCAATTACACAATAGAATTTTGAATTTTACCAATCCATTATTGACATTGCGCAATTCTTTTTAAAATTATACACCACTTTTCATATGATGTTTAAAAAAAGTGCCACTTTACAATAAGGCTACCCATATAAAGGGTTTATGAATGGTTTATAATCTGGTTATTAATTAATTTGTAGCACTTTGTAAATTATTAATAGACAATTTTAAAAACGTTATAACACAGTTTTCTTTTTATTAATGAGTTACTACCATTTACATGTGGCAAAAGGGAGCCTTATTGTAGAGTGCTACCAAAAAAAAAAAAATATTCATTGACCCATCCCGCAGAAACTAGTGATCTTCAGGATGTAGTTATGATCTGATGTACAAAATCATTTGTATTTGAATTGCTTAAATCTAGCATATTTGAGGGGGTTTGCAGGCTAATGACAGTCTTGTTTTTGCAAGCAGAGGCTACGTCATTTTATATTGTGTGGAAAATGAAATGATCAATCTGTGGGCCATATAAGTGAATTAAACATTTTTCAAGTGTATCAAATCATCTCGCAGGCTTGTAGTTTGATACCTGCATGAGCCGATGAAGTCCCTCGTCCTACATTACGTAAAATTGCTGATTGTCCAGTGCAGTCATCTTGTTTTAGTGGTTCTGATTTTGGCTCTGGTGCTGCTAACTTTGAATATTGATAAAGCTTAAACATCGGACAGCAATATCGGCCAAGTTTGAAATATCACACTGATGTCAGTATCTTCGGTAACATCAGTTGATACCTATACACTCACCTAAAGGATTATTAGGAACACCATACTAATACGGTGTTTGACCCCCTTTCGCCTTCAGAACTGCCTTACTTCTACGTGGCATTGATTCAACAAGGTGCTGAAAGCATTCTTTAGAAATGTTGGCCCATATTGAT